ATATGTGTATGTATATGTATATGCTTATGTATATGTATATGTATACGCATATGTATATGTGTGTGTATATATACATTATATATATATATGTGCGTGTGTCTATGTGTATGTCTATGTGTATGTGTATGTGCATGTGTTTGTGTGCATGTGTATGTGTAGGTGTATGTGCATGTGTATGTATATGTGTGTATGTGTGTATGTGTGTATCTACGGATGTATGTATGTATGTATGTAGGTAGGTAGGTAGGTAGGTAGGTCGGTGAGTGGGTGGGTGAGTGGGTGGGTGAGTGGGTGGGTGGGTATGTAGGTAGGTAGGTATGTATGTGCTTACGTATGTGGGTATGTTTGTACGCAGGTATGTAGTTGTGTATGTATGTGAGTGTATATGTGTGTATATATAAATAAATAAGCAAATACACAAACAAATCTATATATATATATATCTATATATATATATACACATACATATACACATACAGATGAATACATACTCACACTTATACGCATACGCATGCAAGCCCTAATCCTTAATCCGATTGACAAACTGGCAGCAAGAATCATCCTGGAATCCTGGATGATCGCTCCTGGCCGCAAGGATCCCGACGAGGAGGACCTCTGAGTGCATTGGGCAGCCCCGCCAGCACCTCTTTCGTGCCCGAGCCCTCAACCCTTGACTCTAAATCCCAACTCCCAGCTCCAAAATCCCTAAACCTCAAAACCGCCAAAACCCAGACCCCCAAAAGTTTCTAAACACGCCGTACACCCGACAACCCAAGACCCAAAGGCGCACCCGGTTCGGCCTGGGCTGTCTTGCTGCGAAGCAGAGGCCCAGGTTGCAGTCAGACCGTGCCGAAATCCGACTTCGTTTGCCCTGCCGCAAAAAAGCGTTAAAAAGGCTTCAACCTTATGAGATTTTTATGCTTAGGGTTTGCGGCTTTGGGGTTTGGGGCTTTGGATGCCAGGTGGTTTTATGGTTTAGGGTTTCGGGACATGTGGTTTTGAGTTCAAGGGTCCGGCTTTTTTCTTTCGGCGTTTGACCGTTTAAAGTTCCAGTGTTTACGGTCCTAGGCGTTGTTTTCCTGATCTTAGCATGCAGGGCTGCCGCCCGGTCTGTTGGTCGAGGGTTGGGGTTGAGCCATGGTGCCTGTTGGTCTTATTGCTGCTGTGCCGACTATGGTCAACCTGGTTCGGAGGCTTACAAAAACGAGCCAGACATGCGGCCAGTGAGCTAGTTAGAAAGCCGACAAAGCTACCAGCGTCGATCCCTGATGTGACCTCCGCGGCAGACTCCAGTACCACTGCGGTGCCTCACAGCGCAGTTTCCATGGCTTGCGCTTACTGCATAATCAACGATCTCCCAAGCCACATTCCATACATTCCATGTTCCCGGCCCTTGCCCGAGTGCCCTTACCAACCTCGTACAGAGCTCGAGAACCGCCCGACGTCTCTTGCTGAGCCCTATGGGGGTCAAAACCCTAAAGCATAAACCATCCTGAGCCCGAAAAGCTCCGACTTGCTCCCGCATGGCCGGACGCTGCCATGGCCGATACTGAGGCATCGTCTTTGCGGTTTCGCTGTAGTCCATGTGAGTAGTGTAAGGGATAATTAGGGTTCCTTCTTTTGGGTTCTTTAAAGGAATCTATAAGGGTTTCTTTTGGGTTTCTATCAGGGTATCACAAGGGTAGTTCTCTAAATTAGGGTCACCCCTACAAAAGAAGTCTAAAATGGACCCTGATGTAGAGAACTACCCATATAGAATTAATTGTCCTACATTAAAACCCATAATCTCATTCTGGCTTGGTGTTGGGGATCTCGGTTTTGGGGCCTGGAGGTTTAGGATTCTTGGGCTCCGGGCTTTGCGCTGTGGATTTTTTGCCGGGGGGTGTGGCGGTTATGGGTCTGGGGAGTTGGGGTGGGTTGGGCGTCAAGGTCCCGGGTTTAGTGCATTAGATTTGCTTCCCGGTTTGATCGGGTTGACTGCTCCTCTTACTGCAGTGGTTGTGGGGGTGTGGTGCTGCTGGGAGGTGAGAGTCATGTCCAAGCTCCACAACGGTAAAGCCTGGAGGGCCAAACCTTAAACCCTTAAAGCAACATCTCCCCCTTTGCCTAAGCCCTAAACCCCAACCAAGCCCCAACCGAACCCTTAACCCCAAACCTAAACCCCTGAACCCAAACCCTAACTGACCCCTAAACCCTGAGCCCTCAACCCTAACCCCTACAAATCCCTGAACCGTAGGCCGAAGAGGAAGGCGCCAAAGCAGTGGAGCAGACCCCCGAGGAGCTACCGAGGGCGCAGGGCCCAGGTTTCAGACAGCCCGCAGAGCCCGCAGAGCTCTTGCCCTGCCCTCCTCTGTTCGGGTGCATTAGCAGAGCATCAAGGCAAACCCTCCACCCTGCGACCCTACACTATAATCCCAACCTTAGCCACACTCTTGGTTGCCCAAGGTGCCATGCCACCTCTTCCTTCCGGTGGTACCAGCGGCCCGAGTCATCGGAAAGCGGGGTGCTAACATCAAGGAGATTCGAGAAAAGAGCCGGGACCCTGGGGAAAATCTTGGGGCGATCGAGGCTTTGGGGCCTCGCAGATTTGGGTCTGCAGGGCTTCAATACTCAAAGGCTTCGGGCTTCGGCGTAGCCGAAGGAAGCAAGGGAGCATTGAGGGAACGTCTCTGGAGGATGTGATGGAATGCAGCTAGTGGTTACAAGAAGTATCCCGAGCCTTTCCTTTGCGTCCAAAGCTGATAGCAGCGATCGCGGCGGCTTTGTGGATTCCGCGCCTTTCCTCTGTCACACCCCAAACGGCCCCACAATCCTGAACGGCAAACCAGAGGCCCAAGCCTTAGGCCCCAAAGCGCGAGATTCATCAGACACACAGCATCATCTCGAGATACGAGAGTCGGAGAGGGGAGGGTTCGTCTGAGGTGGAGCGATGGTCAAGATCCTACAGAAGGCTCGGGCCCTGGATCACCAGCTCAGCTTGGCACCAGGAGTATGCTGTGTCGGGACCTAGAGTGCAGGGTTTAGGAGTAGAAGTTGGGCCTTGGGGCTCCCGTTTTCTTTAAGCGCGATTCACAGACCTTGTGCCCTAAACCGAAAATCCCAGGCGCTGAACAACTGTGAACTCAAACCACACATCCCTGAACCCCCGAAAGTTGCCGACAGTCGCCGGCTATCCGCATTTTTCTGCAGTGAGTCTTTCGGCGGCATCTCGTGGTATCAGGTCTCCACGCCACATCTATCCACGACCTGCAGAGTTTAGGGTTGAGGGTTTAACACCCCGACAAGGCCACTGAGCATGCTGACCTGAATAGAACGCCCTGCAGCTCAAAATGCGAAAACCCTGCAGCCCTAAACCTCCAAACCCAAGACTTGAACCCCGAGCGCTGAGTCAGGAACTCCCCCAAGAGATGCAGCGACGGGAGGACCGTGTCGCGGCAATTTCCGGGGAGCCCACGGCAGTGCGTGAGGTGGGGTAGGGAGGGGCTTGGGGGTTAGGGCCTGCGCCTTACATGCGGCTTATTCAGTTTCAGTGGATTTGCCTGGGTGCAAACGCAGCTCATACGATATCGATAACCTTCAAACCATCACCAAAAGGTGGTGGAAGCAGCAGCAGTTGCGGAAGCAGCAAATAGCAGTAGCCGCAGGCTAGCAATAGTAAAGGTCGTTTCCAATAGAATTCTAACCATAATCGTCGAAACCACGATGTCAATGAGCGCTGTACTCAGGACAGCAACAACCACCGTTCCAGACAAGATCCTGCCCGAAACCCTGAAACAAGCCTTAAATCCCCAACCCTGAAACCGAAACCCGAAACCTTGAACCCTACCCCCTAAGCCCCGAAACCCAAAGGGTGTTGAAAACAAAAGCCCCCCCAAATCCCCCAGCCCTAAGCCCCTGAAACAAACGCCCCCAAAACCCCCAGCCCTAAAGCCTAAAACCTTAAACCCCAGGCCATCCTTGGCGTCTTAGAACGGGTCTTCGACCGCTCGGGTCTCCCGGACACAGCAAGGAGCCCGGATGCTGCGAGGGCTCTGGATTTCGGGTTTCGGCCTCCTGAGGCTCTTTGGCTTTAAGGGGTCTGTTTTGGGTTCCGGGTTTAGAGGGTTTAGTGGTTTAGGGATTTAGGGTTTAGGGTTTAGGGGTTTGGGGTTTAGGAGTTTAGGGGTTTAGGCGTTTAGGGTTTATAGGGTTTAGGGATTAGAGGTTTGGGGTTTGGGAGGGCCTGAGGGCCCTTTTTCAGGGCTTTGGGGTTTCTGAGCTATTATGGTTGGGTGTGGAGCGCCCCTCCGGGGTAAGGGCCATTTAAGGACATTGTTGTCTTCGGGAGAAGCGGGGCCTTATTGCGTTGTTCATGCCTTTCAGTGCTTAGGGGAGAAGGCTGGACTTGTTTTGTTTTCTTTTTGGTGGGGGGGGACAGCTTTAGGATAAGTTGTCGGAGATCCTGGTTCAGGGTTCTGGACTTCGGGTTTAGGTTTTACGGACATGAAGGAAGGATCAAACTCTTCAAGTGAAACAGATGCTGCATACACACCTATGTGCCAGCACACAACAACGCAGAAAGGCATGAACCCATACTATAGAAATGCACGGACATGCAGGTAAGGGGTGGAGGAGTCTTCCTGAATGTGCATTGCGATTTGTGCAAAGCTTCCGCGCCTATTTATGGGGTGTTCGGGGCAAGCGGAAACGCGAGCTCAGGCCGATGCCTCTGTCCGCGATCGGGGCTACATCGTCGAGGTCTGACTTTTGTTGAACTCATAAAACTCCTACACCTACAAAACCCCTTAAAGCCTCCCTGTAAGAAAGCCTGCTTAAATCAACCAACATATCTCCAGCTGAGATCCAAAAGTGATTGACATGTACTATGAGAATCAGGACGTGGCCTAATTTGAACGCCCGAAAGGTGCAAATCTTAAGATCCTCGTCGTCATCTCGACTAGCAAGTTCGTCGTCATCGTCACGTGCGATGATTCATTGCAGCCAGTATTTATACATAGTTGAAATCGCGAGGCAGGAGGCCACAGCTCTGGACAACAGCAGAACCCCTAAGCACTGGACTTTACCAATCCCCGAGCCCTGAAACGTCACGGCATTGCCAGGTCCTTGTGCCCGAAAAATGCGGTTCCCACCTTATCGGTCAGAAGGGCGAGCGGGTGAAGACCCTCTGCCAGGCCACGGCCGATGGGAAGGGCTGACGAGAGAACTTCGAACCCTTTGACCAGATCGTTACGCATAGGTAGATAGACATATGCGTGTATGCACACATGCCCGTACATACATATACACAAGCAGGCGACATGACAGACAGCTGAATGAGTAGATCACTTGATATTTAGGTATTGCACTAAGAGATAAGAACTAGACTAGACAGACAAGAGGACACATGAAGTACGATAGGCGGCTAAGCATAAACGTGTCTTAGAATGTATTGCGGTGCGACCTTTCAAGCTTTTTCCTTTCGGCTTACGGTTGTTGTCCAGATCTCCGGCCCGACGGCCGAAAGATTTGTTGCTCGTCGCAACCCCGGTAATTGGCGTTATAGGTTAAAGCTACAGCTATCGACGAAAGCCGTATTCTAGTTGCAAGCATTTGTGTTTTGGCATGTCTGCATATGTCCCTCAGCGCTCACTGCTCAAGTGAGACGATCGCATCCGGAGAGGGAAACCCTACTGCAAAACCCTAAAGAGTAGGAGCATTATCATCCGGACACTCTGAAACACATTAAAGAATCGAGCTGGACACTGCCCCCCCCCCCCCC